TTATTAAAATTATTATTATTATTATTATTATTATTATTCTAGTTTATTTACAAAATTTGAATACATCATTTTCCAGAACAGATTCTTCCAATTTCCCTCACCCTCCCATCAAATCATACAACCCCATTCTTTCACTTGGATCTTTATAGTCATTCTGCAATAATGGTTTTATACAGTATTTGTCCTTATGGGACTGAGTTAGTTCACTCAACATAATGCTCTCCAGTCCCTCCCTAGTTAAGTAATAATTTACAAAATTATTTCTCCCTGAGTGCTGCATAGTATTCCATTGTGTAAATGTACCATAATTTCTCAATCCATTCATTTATGGTTGGACATCTGGACTGTTTCCATGTTCTTGCGATGGTGAATAATGCTGCTAAGGTACGATAAAGCTATGCCTTGAACTTTGTCTGAATATTTCTTATATTACTGAGGACACATAGATGTGTAGTGCCTACAGAATTGACTAATCAGATAATTTCTTGTTTATATTTAAGAGAACTGGTTTAAGAAGTAACTGTAAATTTATAACTTTGCTGGCATATTACACCATATGTTGCACTGTTAACAGAAAGGTGGGCAGTTGGAATCCACCAATTGCTGTATAGGACAGCAGACAGGCTTCTCCCCTAAACATTTACAGCCCCAGAAACCAGTGGAGGATCTCATCATCACAATAGATTTGAAGGCAATAATGAGGTTATCATTAGTGGGGTAAAGTGATAATAGTAAGTATATAAAAAAAGAATTTATTTTGTTCTGAAATTTCCAAATTAGATAATATGAACTTCCACAAATATGAATTTACTTATATCATGTCCCAGTAAAGTAAATGTCAAGAAAAAAAATTGCTTTTTGGAAAGTTATTGGTTAAGAATGACTTACATCTGGAGGATAAAATCAATAGGGGGTTTTCACTTTGTAAATTCAATATTTTTCCCATAGTTTTTTTGTTTGTTTGTTTGTTTTTTCAAAAAAGAACACATTACTTTTGTATTAAAGAAATAAATTTAAATTGGCGTTAGAGATAAATTTTAAAAATAACCATGCCTGGCAGAGATTTGCTAAAGTTCCTGAATATATTTATACAGGGAGAACATGAAGGCAATTACAGACACTGAAGACAGAGAAATGAGGAAAAAGAAAGAAGAATATTTAACTTTTAGTCCTCTTACAGTTATAATATTTGTGGTCATCTGCTGTGTTATGATGGTCTTGCTTTATTTCTTCTACAAATGGTTGGGTAAGAAGTCAAATTTTGTGTTTACTGCTTTTAACATATATTCTTTTCATTTCCTTTGCCATATTTATCTTTCCTTTAAGACATTGTAACTGGAAATCTTAAACAAGTAACTTGATTAATATTCTATTTTTT